CCAGAACCTGAGGAGGATAAAAGTGATGAAGATAATGACAGCACAAAAATGCACCAAGTTACTTATAATAAAACACTGAGTGCTATAGATTTGCTAAAACAGTACCTTCTGCAACAGGATCTCTGTGATACAACCAGGTCAAAACATGATGAAGTTTGGTCAGACTTGCAAGAAGTGATTAAAAAATTACGAAGGACATCTTTCAGACAACTAGATCTTGAAATATTTTTTGGGCTGGCTAATTAATTCTGTAATAAAAACTAAACTGTGCAGATAAGTATTGCATATTTTAAGTATTTTTAAATATAAATGAATAATAATAACAAGTAGATTGCGAGTTTATAAGAATATTACACACTACCAGTATGAATGCCAATGATGATCAAATCTGGGACAGCAACTATGCTAAAAGCCATTCTTGCAATTATGCTGATCCAAAGGAGACCTTCATCGTTTTGCTCAAAAAGAGTGTGGTAATAGGCTTGAACTTGTAGGCTATTTTTTTATATAACTATATCACCAGAAGCTGCATTACTCTTAAGCAGTAATAGCTTTTTATGGCCGAATACCTTCTAAATAGCAGAGCGAACGTTTTGTAATACTGAACTATAATGTTTCTTTATTTTTTGCAAAAGCTGTTAAAAGATAATTAAATAAATAATTAAAAATTAATGATTAAAATACAAATATATAAATGATTAAAAGTTATAATGATTAAAATACAAATATGTAAATGATTAATAATGATTGTCACGGATGATCGTGAAATCAGATGATGGTGAAATTTGAATATATTTTATATATGATTTTTAAAATTTTTTAGGGTCTTTTTGTTGGCTTTTTTTTTATAGTTAAGTTAGGATTTAGGGTTAGAGTTATTAGTAAAAGAGTATAGGTAGATTTTGGTAGGGCTTATATTTTTAAATCGAGACCTCTAAATTTTACTATCATCCGATTTCACAATCATCTGCGACAATGATTAATAATGATTAATACCAATTAATACTGATTAAAATACAAATATGAGAAATTATAATAATTAAATAAAAATTATATACCAGACTGTACCAGCCACCATAAAATCTATTAGTGAATTCATTTTTACTAATGCTTAATATAAATTCAGTGAAGTTGTTATTTGGTATGTTCTGAGGGCTTCTTTTAATACAATTTAAGTAGGATAGATATGCTGTAGAAAAAGACATTTTACATGCTAGTAAATATATCCTATACAAAATTTTAACATATAATTTTAATATACATTCTATATACTTTATATTGTATATCACTCTGATTATATTGATACTTTAAAAAAAAATAAAAAATTGTTATATATCAAAATATCAGTTTAAGCTGAGGCATTCTCATATTAAATATAAAGTTCAAAATATTGTTATAATTCCTGTATATCCAGATATCAGTATAACCAGAGTGATATTTGTTAGCAGAAAACATATGTCTAGCACTTTTGGGAAGAGACCTTTTTTTGATCTACTCTTCGCATTGCACTTCGTCTTTAACTTCATGAATATCATCACTTAATTTTTTGATGAGAAAGTAGAGTTGCTAGTTTTGTATAAAAAGTCACTCGTAGATTTGTTGACAAGAACCAGAATGCACTTAGAGTTTCATTTAAGTAGAAAAAAAAAATCAAAAAAAAGTTCAAATATCTGAAAAATCAAAAAAAATGTTGATTTATATACCATGATCATGATAATCATCACGTGATTAGTTCTGATTAGAGGTTTAAAGATCATTAGCGTCATTATAATCATTATAATGATCCTGATTGGAGGGTTGGTGATTATAATCACGTGATCTAGACTGTGTCTTTTTGGGTTGTGGTGATAATAATTAATTTTGTTTGTTAGAAGATGTTGAGTGACATGAATGATGTGAATGACATAAATGATATTCATTGTAAGATAATAGTTGTTGAGAATATTGTGAGTGAGATGATTGTCAGGATTGGGTGGCTTGATGCAATTGAGAATATTGTAAGGGAGGTGCTTGTCATTAGTGAGATATTTGTCTGAATTGGGTGACTTGATGCAATTAAGAATGTTGTAAGGGAGGTGTTTGTTGTGAATGAAATGTTTGTCAGAATTGGGTAGCTTGATGCGATTGAGAATGTTGTAAGGGAAGTGTTTTATTATAAGTAACTTGGTGCATTTTTGTGCTGTCATTATCTTCATCACTTTTATCCTCCTCAGGTTCTGG